ATGATCAACTACGAGAGAGGATTAAATTTGTTTCATAAGCTGCACATAAATAGATCGAAACTAGTTTGGGTCCACACAATGTTGATAAGTGGGCTTTATGTGAATATGGCAGGAAACTGTTCTGTATGATGACTACGAACGCTTCTGAGAGTTTCAATGGTGTGCTTAGGGGAGCACGCGGTTTGCTAATACAGTCACTAGTTGCAAAAACATTTTACATACTTAATAAATTCTTTCTTCGACATTGCACACTTGGTGAAAATATCCTGTCAGAGCTCATGCCGAAGGTTGAAGACACATTAGCAGATCAGATAGTACAAGCTCGATCATATTTCATATCGTAAGATACAGTTTTAATGAATAGGAGGTCATTGAGGGAATATCACATAGAGAAAGTTGCTCTTACAAAGTCAATATGCTAGTGGATCACACTTGTACGTGCACTTGCAATGTACCGCAGCTATAATGGCTTCCTTGTTCACATGTTTGGTCACAGCTTGCTCTGATCTACACGGTGGCACGAGGATTTCACATTATGAATTCATCGCAAATTGGTATTTAACTTACAACTATCAACAGACGTACAAAAAGTGTTTTTGTCCACCATACGATAGTCGACATTAGGCACGAGACGGGCCACACATATTACCTCTTTTGTATAAAAGATCAGTTGGGCGCCATCATTCCATACGAATTAGAAATAGTATGGATGACGGCCGAGAAGGAATTAGGAGGAAAAATAAGTGTAGTAGATACGATCAACCGGGCCATAACAAAAGCAGATGTCCAGCTAAGATTAGGTGTTGATTTCTAATTTTAATGTTTGTTCTCATGTGACATTCGTATTTATAATATATAACCTTCTAATATTTATCCTTGTTTAGATGTGACATTCGTTTGTTGTAATATGTAACATTCTAATATTAATCCTTGTTCCCATGTGACATTCATTTTTTGTAATATGTAATCATCTTCTTTGAATCTTGAATCTTGAATATGTTAAATACATATGATTAAGTCATTCAACATAAATATCTAACACAGTGTCTTTTAATATTTTAATCTCAAATACATCCATTATGGATCTGGGACCGATACATAGCGACGTTTGTACCTTCAGGCAGATCATTGTTCACACCATATTGGCTTGGGACAGGTAAAAAGTTTTTTGTATATATATATTTCTTATTTTTGGCACTAATTTTAAGTTTTCTTAATATACTTAATCAATTTTGTTTAATGTGCAGCCCGTACCAGATATCACCATGGTCGATCATTCACAGAGTCATTCAGGTTGGGTCATTGAGGATGAGAAGGTACTAGACTTGATAGCTCAAGCCAAGTTTCAGGAGTGTTCAGCAATGAGGTATTTAGGCTTGACTGGTCCCTTATCAATACACTGATTGAGAGGTAGAGGCCGGAGACCAACACCTTTCATATGCATATAAAGGAGTGTATTATTACATTACAGGACGTAGTCGTCATACTTGGGCTCCGCATCAATGGCCCGGCAATTACGGGCACTTATGACCATAATTGGGCTGAAGTATGTGATATGCTTCTTGGTCAGGTTCTCGACTTAAGGAGTGGTGCGATGAAGCTATCACAGCTTCGTACGACATTTATGGGAGATATACCAGCTGATGCCACGGTTGAGACACTTCAGTATCATGCTCGTGTGTATATATTACACATGATAGGGTGCATACTATTTCCTGATGCGAGCAAAAATCTTGTACATGCACGATGACTACCACTGCTAGAGGATTTTAGTGTATGCGACAGTCTATCATGGGGTAGTGCGGTGTTAGTATACTTATATAGAGAACTAGGTAGGGTCTCCTTGATGCAGAATAAAAAATTCAAGGGATGCTACACATTGATACAGATTTGATCATGGGAACGCATTCATATTGGACAACCTACTTTTCTTGTGCACCACGACCTACAGGGCCGGTTTTCTTTGGCATACAGGTATAATTGTCCACACAATTTTATTCATATTGAATTTGTACTCATATATTCTTTATGCCAAATAGGTATAACGTGCGGTACGCTAAGTACAAATCAACGATATGACATATAGAGTTTTACCAAAATGAGCTTGATGGACTCCAACACCAATATGTAAATATAAAACTCAATTCATTATGAATATTTTAGTTTTGTTGTTGATAGTGATAAATATTTCATCTTATTTCAGTTCAAGTGGAGCCCCTATTCACCGTCAGAGCTCGATATGCATACTCTTACACCTATCTGTCAAGATATTGCTACTTTGTGAAGAGCCAGAGTTTCATTGATGTGTTGGGAGATTGTGAAGATGCATGTCCTCGAATGTGTGTTATGGCAATTTCTGCGCTCTCAACATGTGTCAGATCCTGTCGAGCAAATCGATCATAGGTGACGACCTACATCGTATCATACAGACTGGGCCGTATTCCATGCGGCTTACATAGACAGGTGGATTAATAGGTGGGATTTCATATAAGATGAGAGATACAGCTGTTGATTATACCACGTATATGCGTTGGTATTAGGATATCATACGTAGATGGATGGCATGCGACCCACAGCCATCAGCTGGATACCTGCCACTCCCACCGACAGATAGTTATGTCCCTAATGCCATGATCGAGAGAGATTATGTAAGTTTCTAAGCTAATATAAAATGGTAATTTTTTTATTAAGATATTATTTGCTAAATTGTGTATATATTTATTAACTCGCAGACCAAAGCTTTTGATGACATTGAAGCTGATATAGATGAGCACATCAGTGACATCCATGATATGACGGCCTTAGGGGTCTTTAACAGGATCAAACAGAGAATAGCAATTGTGTTTCATAAGACTTATGTCGACGAGTTTGCATGCCATGAGGATAGGTCTCGATCATTTGGGCAAATGTACACGTGACGACGTAGGTCAAGTGATGATGGAGCCGCCACTTCTCATAGCACGGTGCATGCTGAAATAAGGCTGCAGTCCAAGGTGAAACTAAGAATATTAAACTGTCAAGCACCAAACACCATGCTACGACATGCTTCACCATCACAGTCACTACCTATCTAGTAGAATCAACAACAGGTGTAGGTACAAAACAGGCAAAAGAGAGTATACAGAAAGGAAACTAAACAACAGATACTCAGAAGAATAATCACTACCACTGATATAAATGGATAAGTCTCTAAAAAGGTAATATCTGAACTGAATACAAATGTCTCGATATAAGAATCAAATGAAATGATATTAAGGCACATTGCCTATACAAAACTAGAATAAAAACTCAAATGTTCATAAATACATCTATTGTGGAGTTCTGACATAAACTACTAGCAAAAATAAAAAATGATAACTAGAACAACTCCATCAAGCTACGGCTCTCAGTGCACCTGGCTCGTTAACTGAAAGTGAGGAAACAACGAGCGTCAAAACGTTATAGCGNGGGGGGGGGGGGGGGGGAGAGCGAGGGGAAGGGGGAGAAAGAGAGGAAGGAGAGAAGGAATTTTGGGTTGTATGTGATTTTCTTTTGTTGAAATTTGTTACTTTTATTATTTTTCAAATAATATATTTTGGTGGATCGATTATTATTTATATATGCAATTTTCGTGAGTATTGTTTGATTCATGGCTGAATTTTAAGAATATTGTTGTAATTCAGTATATATGTGATCGATTATTGTTCACAGGTGTATTTTCGTGAGAATTGTTTGATTCATGGCTGAAATTTAAGAATATTTTTGTAATTCAATATATATTGTTTGATTCATGGTGAAAATTTCATGTATATTGTTGTGAAATACATTTAAGAAAATCTCCGTGTATAGGTTGTGCATGTTTTTTAAAACCTGCAGCTTCACGGGACTTGAAGTTCCGTGAAGTTGCAGGCTGAATTTCCAAAGGCTGGAAATTCAGCTCAAACTTCACGGGAGTTCAAGTCCCATGAAGTTTTTTCAACTAAAAAAATTCATAGGACTTGAAGTCCCGTGAAAGAATTGTCTTCCTTAATTAACGTCATTATAGGCTACTAAACTTCACAGGACTTCAAGTCCCGTGAAGTTTCATAGTTTTTTCGTCAAAACCGACCCAGTTTTAGCCTGACGGTTGAAACTAGGTCGATTTTGATAATTATTTCTAGAATATGTCGTTTTTGCTATTTTTTGTAAGTGGGATGATTTTCAAAATTTGTCGTACTTCTCACCTTATAAAAGCGTTCTTTGGCAATTAACACGGTATAATTGCAACCCGGGTTCAATTCCCATCGACATGTTAGTACAGGCCTAGGACCATGATATGGTGAAGTGACATTGTGTCCTTCAACAAAGTAAAGCCGCCTATAAACTCTATCCACATTTTCTTTGGAAAGTAAACTGTATCCAAATTGACCAATTGAGCATTGAGGAAGCATGGATTTTATACGAAGCTATCCACGTCACCTGATGCTGTTTGTTACATATACATCCCTTTTAACTAGCTAGTCTCCTCTTCTATAGCCACCCAGCCGTCACTGAGGTGCTCAGTCCGCCTAACTGATTTGATTGAAATTAGGAAAGTTACCCGCATTGATCTTAAGTCCTATATGCATTATGATGGCTAGTGCAGCCAATTGGGACCATTTGGTTCAACTTCAACAATTGATATGTACATGTAAAATTGTAAATGTGTTTCCTCTCACTTTCCCTCCTTCAACCATATATTGCTAAGATTTACGGAACTGAAAATACTTATCACTTGAGCTTTTTCCAGAAAGAATGGAGTTGGTGTTGGTGCACCAGAACTTGTTTCGTATGAATATATTAACCCACATTCTTTAAAGAAAAGAATTTTTAAAAGTCAAGTAAGTGTTTATCTGTGGAAAACCCTCACGTACTTATTACTTCCAACAACGTCCTTTTCCAAATATTCCTTTGGATGGCCAAGCCTAAAAATCTAACCAATTAATAGAAAAAAAAAACATGCTTTAGTTTCTCTATAAATACTAAAAACCCGAGCTTCCCTTCATCATCAACATCTTTCCTTTCAATTCTGTACCAAGTCCCTCTGCTCTTCTTCAATGGCTCTCACTTCTAGTCTCCTGCTTCTCTTCTCCATCTCTTTCGTTCAGCTCCAGTTCCTGGCCGAAGCTGATGATCAGTTTGTTCAATCAAGTGCTGCTTACTACCCAGACTCAGCCCAAAATGGCACCTCAGGTTTAGTTAGTTCAATAGCCTAGTACACAAGTTTTGCATCCTACTTAACTTAATATTTTAGGATTAATTGCACATACACTCTCGTGCAGTGACGGGTAATTAAGTCACTTATTACTTCTAATTTTTATTCGCATCTGTAATGTTATCTGCATACTATAGGGAGTGTAGTGTTTGTTGAACACCTATAAAAGAATCGAGGTTTCAATGCTTATAAAAAAGTGTAGGATGAATAAATGACAAAATTACCAACAATACACACTAGTAGAAAACTGAGCATTGGCGACGGAGAAACCCGTCGCCAATACTTATCGGCGACGGATTTATTGGCGACGGATCCATTTCCTTCACCAATATGTATTGGTGACGGATTTGGGGCATTGGTGACGGATTTCCCCGTCGCCAATGCCCTGTTTTCTACTAGTGACAGTATCGTATATGTCATTAGTTTATATCTTTTTTGCATTCTGATTTACTAATTTTTTTTTGGTAAAGATGGATCATGCGGATATGGCTCATTTGGTGCAACACTTAACGGCGGAGATGTATCAGCTGCAAACAGTCTCTACAGAAATGGTGTTGGTTGTGGAGCTTGCTACCAGGTGATACATTCATCTTGATTAT